CCCAGCAAGCCCCCTTTGGGGCTGGGTGTTGTCCTTCGGTTTTGCCCGAGGCTTTCTTCCCTGCTCTGTGGAGGCTGTTTATATCTGAGCTGGCATTCAGAGGAAGCACAGGCAGACTTTCCTCCATTTCAGGAGGAGGAAGGGCTGACACTCCCCAGAAGGACCTTCAAGAGCTCTGTCTTTTTTGTTTCAGAGCCCAAGTGGCCCTGTGGTTGTTGGAGGAGCAGTCTCCACTTAGGGTACCCACCTCCTGACTCCACTGTAGGAAACCTTCTATATGAGTTCATATCAGTCCAGCACCCAGTAGTTACCAGCTGGGGGAGGGGTTGTCACATTCCACAGATCCCCAGGGAGGTCTGCCTTGTTGCTCTCAGAGCCTGCCCTGTAGTATGTTGGCTGTGGATGTAGCCTCCACTCAAGATGCCTGCTTCCTAGTATACAGCGGCCTCAATCAGCAGTCCTCACCACTGACTTGAATGGGGAGCAGACAGATCTAAACTGATCCCCAAGGAGGTCTGGTCCTGTTGTTTCAGAGGCCTGAGCTATAGGGTGCAAGGAAGGCAGGTAGGGTGTTGACTATGGGAGTAGACTCTACTATGGGGGCCTTCTGTAGCAGTTTGCAACAGCCTGGCAGCCAACAAGTATCAAGTGGGGAGGGAGGTGTCACACCCTGATCAGATCCCCATGGAGGTCTGCCTTGTTCCATCAGAGTCCTCCTGATAGATTGTTGGCTGTAAGAATATCCTCACTCAAGGCTCCTGCTTCTGAGAACACAGCAGCCTCAGTCAGGAGTCATCAGCACCAACCAAAAGTGGGGGCAGAGTAATCCTAATTGACCCCCAGGGAAGTTTGTCCTGTTGGTTTCAGAGACCAGAGGTATGGAGTGCATGGGGAGGCAAATAGAATGCTGACTGTGAGAGCAGACTCCTACTGCATGGGCCTTCAAGCAATTCACAACAGACTTGCAGCTGACAGTGTCTGGGTGGGGGAGGTGCTGGCACTCTCCAAATGGACCCGTTGGGAGATCTGCCTTGTTGTTATCAGAGCGACCCCTGTAGTATGTTGGCTGTGAGTGTAGCCGCCACTAAAGATGCCTGCTTCCTAGGACACAGCAGTCTCAGTTAGCAGTCCTCAGCACTGACTGGAAGGGGGAGCAAACAGACCTGAACTGACCCCCTGGGAGATCTGTCCTGTTGGTTTCAGAAGTGTGAGCTATGGGGTGAGCAGGGAGGCAGGTAAAGTGTTGACTATTACAGCAGACCCCACTGCACAGCCTTCTGCAGCAATTCACAATAGGCTTGCAGCCAACAGTGTCTGGGTGGGTGAGGTGCTGGCACACTCCATACGAAACCCTGGGGAGATCTGCCTTGTTGATTTTAGAGCAGAAGCTTGGGGTCTTGTCTCTTTCTATAGGCAGGAGCTGTGGTGGTTAGGGAAGCAGGCTCCTTTTCTGGGGCCATTTCCACAGTTCACAACAGCTGGTGGCCCATGTGGCTGGGGGGAGGGGCAGGGACAGTGAGAGAAGTGATTTTCCTACTGTATGTGACTCGTTGTTGATTTGTTGATTCTTGCCTGTCTGCAGTTCCTTGCTGCTTTCCTCTGCTCTCTAATTCAGAGTCCCTCAAAGCTGAGCACTGCTTCCTTGCTGTATTTCTTGTTGTATTTGTTGGGGGGAGTCAGAACAATGGTCTGTTTACGCTGCCACCTTCCTAGAATTTCCTCTTTCCTACCTTTTATCCATTGTGCTCAGTTGCAAGTTAAAGAAACCCAAATAAAATGCCTTGACCACATAGTGTATTATTTTTCTCATGCAACAAAAAGTCCAGAAGTAGGGCAGCTTAGATTTGCCACAATGTCTTCAATGTTATCAAGAACCCAGGCTCTGGGGTCTTAAAAGCTTGCAAGTGGCCATCCAAGGCACAACAATTGGTCTCTATTCATCTGGAGCAACAGCAAAAGAAGGAGAGGGAGGAAAAGGAGGAAGATATGGAATGTGTGGCTATTTGCCTCCATGAACAACTGCCTCCTTTGCCATGAGACCAGAAGAACTGCATGGTGCCCAATTACCATTACTGAACATTTTGATCAAAGATTCCATAGAAGAATCTTGATCAAAAGGGAGAAAATTCAGAACAGAATTTCAAATTCTCATGGAATCCAGACTTCCTGGAGCCATAAAGATTAGATGAACCCCTGAACTATTGCCCTGACATAATCTTTAAACCTTAAACCAAAAATATCCCCTGAAGTCTTCTTAAAACCAAATAATAGTTTAGCTTAACTAATATTACATGTCTGCCTTGAGCATTATGCTCTTTTAAGAACTATCTGTATTGGATCAAAATAATAACAGCAACTTAAAAGATTAGATAGGAACCTTAGCGGGCAGAGAATTTATGCTAATGGGGAGGAACAACTCAGAAAAGGAGGATGAGAATGGTTATACAACTCAAGGAATGTAATCAATGTTATTAAATGGTACGTGTAGAAACTGTTGAATTGCCGTATGTTTTGCTGTGTATATTCTCAACAACAGCAAAATAAATAAAATAAAATAAAAAAGTACCCAGACTGCTTCTATCTTTCTGCTGAAACATCCTTGGCATGTGGCTTTCCTCCTAATACTCTGAAGATGAGTGATGCACCTCTAGGCATCAAGTCCTCGTTCCAGGCAAGATTAAGGAGAAATAGTGGTTGAGAAAAAGACAAAAAGGAAGATTCCATCTGGGTCTGACTCCTTTTATGAAATTTTTCCGCCTAATGACATCAATTTATATTTCACTGGCCAGAATGAGTCATAAACCCCACCATGCTGCAAGGAAGTCTGAAGAAGTGATCCTTTCATCTGGACTCATTGCCTTCCTGAACAAAATCAGGATTTCAATGGAAAGAAAAAAGGAGAAGGCGACTAGCAATGTGTGCCACATATCTCCTCGTCCCTTCCCCACCGTAGGGGCTAAGTGCCCTCGGTGCGGGGGAGGCAAGAACCTGCCCCACAACCCCCAGCAGTTCATTGAGGACAGCCCTTCCCAACCCATCTCTTTCTCCCTCATCTTGGTGATACTTCCCCTCATTACAGCCTCAATTCTCAGGGGCCTGCTCTCAGGGTAGGAAATGTGTCAATTCATTCTCATTAAGGCACCATGGGACCAGTGGTAGGAGCCCTGGTGGCTCAGTGGTTAAGAGCTCAGGCTGCTAACCAAAAGCTCAGCAGTTCGAATCCACCAGCCACTCCTCAGAAACCGTATGAGGCAGTTCTACTCTGTCCTATAGGGTCACTATGAGTCGGGAATCGACTTGATGACAATGGGTGACCAGTCATGTCTTTTCTCATTTTTTTCAAGCAACAAAGTCTCCACCCAAAGAAATGTATTTTAGTGATATCATTTTGGGAACTGTGGGCATCTGGAGAGGTAGATACTGGAGTAAGAGTTGTAGGACTTTTCAGCATGCCTCCCATCATTATCTGCAGGCTATTTCTGACTCTTTTTATGATTAATTACTCAGCTCTTTTCATACTTAGTTACTTTTTAGGTCTAACATGTAAGATAATATGCTGGACAATGTTGACTGAATCTTATGGATCTCTTTCTCTCTCCACAGACACACCCACACACACCCACACACACACACACACCCCTTCACCCAAAACACAAAAGTAATTCAGTCAACAGTGGTTCTTTTGAGAAGCAGGAAGTCACCACTTTGCGTGTGGAGCTAAAATTAATTGATCAAGTAGCAAATAAAATCTTAAATTGTATGCTTTTCCAACGTAGATTTACTATAACCAAAATTTCACATTAATGGAAATTATACCAGACACTTGAAATCCCTTGATATTTCAGTAACTGCTACCAAATCCAAATAAAACTGAGGCCCCAAGCAAATCATTGAGAACCACAGACTCGTTTTCCCAGTCCGTATCATAGAAGAAATAAAGTAAGCTGAGGCAAAATTATCCAGACAGCGTCTCTTGTTTTCCTCTTGGCCCTTCTCACCCTGTATCTGACACTTCAGCTTTTCTGTTCTCCCCTCCTTCTCCAACCAAAATCTGCTCTCCAGATTTACTTCTTATTTGAAGAGAAAGCTTTAAGTCCAAAGAATAAATCTGTAATTATACAGTTTCAGGCCTTATCAAGGTGATGGGGGTAGAGTCGTCAGAATATCTATCTACCTGCCATTGAAGACTGGAGCCTCTCTCTGGCAAGCACAGAGAGCTAGAAGTGTCTGGGAGTTCAGGTCCTATTGTAAATAGGGTCGTTATGAGTCAGAAATGACTCAAAGGCACCTAACGACGACAACAACAACATGGAGACTCTTAGCCCATGGTGGTATAGGAGTAGGAAAGCCCAGTTCTTTGTCTCCAGTAGGGACAACTCAGAGGTGTAGTTTACACTCCAGAGTTCCCCGGGGATCAGGCTAAAGCTTAGACTTTGCCTGAAATGGCATCCTTGCCTAGCTGGTTCCTCTTCCCAGTCCTGCTTTCTTCAATCCCTTATCTGTTTCCCCTGGAAGCATTTTCTTAATACATCAGAATCCGCTTCTGGGGAACATGATCTAAGACACCACTCATATACACAATTATTCAAATGTCTGACCTGGATCCTCTCAGGTATGGAGATAGAACTGATCTACCAATTTTCTAGTCAATTTTGAGGTCAGGTTCACTGGGCATGCATCCTATCTTAGCCATTTACTAGCTGAGGATCTTAGTAAGGTTACTCAAATTCTCTGAGCCTCAATATCCTTGCCTGACATGAGGATTAAGGAGATCATGTAACTAAAGTACTCAGCAGAGTGCATTGCTTATAGTTGGCAGCCACTAAATATTACTTTACCTTAGTTTTCTTCAAAGAGAGAGTCTGGATTCATTAAGATTGTAGTTTGAGAAATTAAATATATCATCTCCAGATATGATGAGTTTTTGCTGAAGTTAAGGATTCATTTCTCTTCTTGGTTGCACTTATGTATTCTGGCTGGGGGTGGGTGTTTATTCACAGAACAATTGCAGTAACGGATTTCCAGCCAACTGAAGCACGTATGGCTTTCCCTTGCTTTGATGAACCATTGTTCAAAGCCAACTTTACAATCAAGATAAGAAGAGAGAGCAGACACATTGCTCTATCCAACATGCCAAAGGTATGACCACTTTTAGAAGTTTTGGGGAATCTTTCTCACGTTGAGTTTTGGTCTTTTTTTCTTCAATATTTCCTTTGTTTTCAGGACTTAAGCCATTAATTTGTTTTTAGTCTGTCTACATACTGTATAATAATTCCAGTCCTTCTACAATTTAACATCATTCATTTTTGGGCATCATTCCACAAGAAGCTTTTTTTTTTTTTTTAAACAAAGTTATTTCTATTTTATTTGAGTTCATACAGAAATAGTTTTCTTTTAAACCAGTATTACTTGACCAAAGGTGCCCTGGTGGTGCAGTGATTAAAGTGCTTGTCTGCTAACTGAAAGGGCAGCGGTTTGAACCCACCAGCCGCTCCATGAGAGAAAGATGTGGCAGTCTGCTTGTAAAGACTACAGCCTTGGAAACCCTATGGGACAGTTCTACTCTGTCCTATAGGATTGCTATGAGTCACAATCGACTCCATGGCAGTGCGTTTTTACTTGACCAGCACCAAGATTCAGAATCACCCACAGCAGCACTTCTCAAACTCTAATGTTCAAATGAATCCCCCAAGAAGCTTGTTAAAATTCAGATTCTGACTCAGTAGATTTGGGATGAGGTTTCAAATTCTATTTTTCTAACAAGTTCTCAGGTGATGCCACTGCTGCTGGTCCAGGTACCATATGTGGAGTAACAAGGACCTAGTGGACCCCGCCTGGGCCCCACCCCAGGAAATTCTGGTCTCCTAGTCTGCAGTGGTGCTTAGAAATCTTTTATTATTATTATTTTTAACTCTGCAGGTAGTTCTCAACATTATTATGAAAACTATTTATTATGGTTATAAATATCAATTTTTAATCAAAAGAGGCCTCAGAACACCTTTATTTGGCTCATATTGTACTCAGAATGCAGAGCTCTTGAGAGACACTACAGACCCTGAGCCTCATTTGATATTTCCTCATTAATGATGTGCTTGCCATTTGTGCTGTTGAACAAAATGTAAAATATTTGCCTATCACTGTGTGGAAAGCAGAGCAAAAATCGAGGCCTTCCTAACAATGTTTCAGAAGGGTGACTAGCATAGAAAGCAGCCAGGTCAACCAGCAAGTGGTCCCATGCCCACTTTCCTCTCTGCCCTGCTCAGTGAATGACCTCTACAGATAAAGGAGAGAAATGAGCATTTCCCCAGATATCTTTTTAATGCTTGAAAAGATATTTGCTCTGAAATACTGGCAGAGCAGATCAAGGGAAAATGTGGCAGTACTCCACATAACATGTATCTCACAGTTTTTCCATGATTGGACAGACAGCACTGTAATAACCGTCTCTTTTTTAGGTAAAAATTATGTGCTGCCTCAACTCTGAATCTCCCTTCCAACATGTTAATTTAAGAGCAGTTTATCATTTCAATCCCTTTCCTGGAAGATTTTTATTATTAATATAAATTTTCAAGTGGTTAATCATTTGAAAATACAAGTTAATAAAGCATCTTAATTAAAATGTGATGTAAACACAAACTGCCATTACCATATGTAATATCATTATTATATTAGAATTAAAAATCTCTGTCTTCAGAAATCTGCAGTAACTTCTCGTATTTGATTTAAAAAAAAAAAGTAATCACTCTGAAAATATTCTATAAAATTCTTGACTGATTGTATTGCCTCAGTTGACTGGACTAGCTCTTTGAGTCATGCTGAATTCAGCAAATACTTGCTTAACTTTTTGCTTCTTATTGACATATCTAGCCCAGGTTACCATATTCTCTGCATAATAGTCGTGGCACTTAAGATGGGTTATGAATTGGTGGGAAGAAGCCACACATAGTAACTTCTCAATTTGTTTAGTTAAGGGTACAAGATTTAAGGGAAGTGAGGTGGGCACTCAAGTAGTAAATGTTGTTGTTAGTTGCCATGGAGTCGATTCCAACTCATGGTGACCCCACGTGTGCACAGTAGAACCGTGCTTCATAGGGTCTTCAAGGCTGTGACCTTTCCGAAGCAGATCACCAGGCCTGTCTTGAGAGGTAACTCTGGATGGGTTTGAACTACCAATCTTTCGGCTACTAGTCTATCGATTAACCATTTGTTCCACCCAGGGACTCCTCAAGAAGCAGCAGAGGCAGCATATCTTTTGTGGCATTTCTTTATCCTTGGCAAAGTGGTTAAGAGATATGACTGCTAACCAAAAGATCAGCAGTTTGAATCCACCAGCCACTCCTTTGAAACCCTATGGGGCAGTTCTACTCTGTCCTATAGGGTCACTATGAGTCGGAACCGATTCCACGGCAATAGGTTTGGTTCAGTTTTTTCTTAATTCCCTAAGGGAATATACACCTGCTGGTGACAGTTGCTATGCATGCAGAGCCCTGCCAACATTGAGAAAATAGCTAAATCCTTGTCCAGCTACAAGTGTTTTATACTTGGAGCTTACATCACCATTCTGGACGAAGCTACACTAACACCCCAGACACTTCCATTTATGGCCATGTTAGTCTACATTGGTCTTTCTAGGCTTCTGAAAAAAACTCAACCTCTATGTGCTACACCTTCACGTGTGGGCAGAAATCAGAATGAATAACCCTCTGTCTCTTAACTATCTCTGCCCCTAGCTTTCTAGCATCTCAGACTATTTTTCCCAATAGTCCCACACTCTCACCTCCTCTTCCACTCATCCCTCCACACACTTGACTAAGTGGTTCTATAGCTGTGTTTGGTCAGAAGACCACAATCATATCCCTCCCGGTGCCCGCCATAAGACAGGGCTCTCCTCTGTTGGAAGGGTGTACCCATAGGACTCTGGTTGAACCAGACTCCTAAAACAAAAAGGAAAGAAAAATTTAATTTGCTGGTTAAATGTAAAAATTACAGCCCTATATATGCTCCTATCTTTCTTAGAATTTGATAGTATTTGGTCAGTATTTTTTGCTTTTTTAGAACTGGCAATTGATTTTCTTAACAGAATTCTGTAGAATTGAATAGCATAAACATTTGCCATTGAAATAGGCTGGGAAGTTTATGGTATTGCTTTAAGCTATCTTCTCTTGTCAAAGCAAACTACAATCTTATTCAAACATAACGCTCAGTAAGCCATGGTCAGCACTGCCACAGCCTGACTCACTGAACGGAAGAAGATGAAGACAAAAGAGCAAGTCTAAGGGGTTGTTACCAATTTGAAGAAAGTGGTATTTTCAGATTATCAGATCTCTATCCATTCAGTACTGAATCCAAACTGTTTGCCATTAAGTTGATTCCAATTCATGGCGACACAGAATCAACTTGGCAGCAGTGGGTTTGGTTTGGTTTATCCATTCAGTATTTAAGGATCTTGTACTATGGTGAAGACCGTCTTCTGGAAAAGCTAGCTAGATCAAATGAAGATAGAATTCAGTAATTATCTAGTGAATTTGATGAATGAAGCTTACCAGTCTGTAGGCTTTAAATGCTCTCCTTCCCCAGTAGATGGGCAGAAGCTTAAATTACTAATGACCTCCATGGCCTGACTGCCGTCATTGCTGAATCAGTGAAGCAAAGATAAAATAAGACTATGACCCAAGCTGTCACACAGCGAATGAAAGAATGAGCAATGTCTTTGGAGTCATGCGGTTACATCCACACCTTGGTCTCGTTGCGGAACTAGCCATGTGATCTTGGGAAATTTAGTTAGCATTTCTGAGCCTCTGTTCCCTCACCTGTGAAATAACACCTACCTCACCCCCACAGAATACAAGGAATGAAAGATAATGTAAAGTATCTAGCATAATTTTAATTCCCCTTTCCTTCCCCCACAAAGATTTATTTCCTGCACCACAAACAAAAGGGGCCACTCTCTGACATTTTTGCTTAGAAATCCATAACTTGAATTTATGTCCATGTTTAAACAGAAGCATCTACGATGTTTTGGTGCTTTCAAACAACAAAATAAAGTATGATTGCATCATCTTGAGGTCCCCCAAATAGTGATACTGTGAGGGAGTAATACTTTGAGGGAGTCCAGTAATAAAACAGAGCAATGAGAGGCCATAGAATGTTAACAAAGGCCTTTGGTCTGCTTAAGGGCATCAAGTGCCCTTCAGAGTGTAACGCATTCCTCTAACTTACCTGCCACCTTAAGTCATAGACATTGTTCTTAAATACTCCAGTTTTCAAATACTAATTTCTTTCCCTTCCTGTAGGTTCGGACAATTGAACTGAAAGAAGGCCTCTTAGAAGATCACTTTGAAGCAACTGTAAAAATGAGTACTTACCTTGTAGCCTATATAGTTTGTGATTTCAACTCTGTAAGTGGCACAACCTTATCAGGGGTCAAGGTGAGATTGTGTTCTAATTTCACACATGGTACAAAATAGTGTCCTAAGGGCAAAGAGTGTTTCTTACGTTTTTTTCCCCCTTATTATCAAACTATTATGCTTATTTTACAAAACAATGATTGGTAAAAAATAAAATAGAAAGTTATCCATAATCCCATCACTAAGATATAACTAATGATAGCATTAGAGTATATGCCTTACAAGTTTTTCTATGTGCATGTCAGTATACAGTAACAGTATATACTGTCTATATATATGCATAATTTTTTATATAATAATATACTATACAGATTGTTTTAAACCCAATTTCCCCCTTAATATGCCATTAAAATTTTTTCTATAATACTATATTAATAATTGCATAGTACTATTCTGCAGGGAGGTATTAGTAGGATTTTAAAAACAGTAGTTACAACTTTATATCTGGGTGATTTGAAGCAAATTAGTCCCTACGTGTTGCAGTGTCTTCATCTCTACAATGAAGATAACAGCATCCACTGAATAGAGTGGCTGTGAGGGTTAAATTCAATTTTACATTTAAATTGTCTACTTCCTCAGTATACGGGCAAATGTGAACATTTAGCACAGTGCCTTGTAAGCCATCAAAAAATGATGGCCATTAACGTATTCTTAGTATAACTATTCTAGGGACTTATAATTGAGAGCATAAAAGCAGGTCATGAAATCAAAATAGTCCTATACTTAGAAACTAGGAAACTGGTAATCTCATTTTGTTTTTGTTTTTCACTTAATAGCTGTATACTTTGGGAAAGTCATTGAACATATTCGGGTATTTTTTAGTTTAAAGCAAATTAGACAGGATAGTGGATCCAATAAAGGGCTGTCATACATCTAGACCTATATTTTATCTGAATTGTGCAGGTGATCATAATTTTGGAAGGCTAGTTCTCAAGCACTAGGGTATATTACAGCAATGAGCTCGAGTGGGTTCTCGTAATGGGTGCAAATAGCTTGAAATTTATAGGTTTGCACTAGGGAATGGATTGTAACAGTTGCAAAACCATTGATAATTCTCAAGAATGCCTTTTGTTTTACTACTTTACAGAACCTCTTAGTCCCTATTGACAACATGCTTAATGGTATCTCAATATTTTCTTGAAAAATGAAGTCTGTCTTTCTTTGGGTGATGGTTGTCAGGAACGAAATTGTGCCAAGGAGTTGTTATTCAAAGGCCACTTCTTCTGATTCACATTTCCCAGGTGTCCATCTATGCATCCCCAGAAAAATGGAGTCAAACACATTATGCTTTGGACACATCACTGAAGCTGCTTGATTTTTATGAAAACTACTTTCATATCAGCTATCCATTACCAAAGCTGGGTAGGTTCAAATTCCACACCATTGCCTTTATTTTTGCTTATAGGACTTGCTTTGATTTCTTCCCTCTTTATATGTGATGGAAGGAGCACTGATGGCGCAGTGGTTAAGCGCTTGGCTGCTAACCGCAAGGTCAGTGGTTCAAATCACCAGCCGCTCCACAGAAGAAAGACGTGGTAGTCTGCTTCCGTAAAGATTACAGCTTTGGAAACCCTATGGAGCAGTTCTACTATCCTATAGGGGTGGTATGAGTTGAAATCAGCTCAACAGTAATTGTTTTTTTTTAAATATGTGATATAAATGAACACTGAAGAGGTTCAGTTAGTACAGGAAAGAGTAATTTCTTCCTCAGAGATGGTCCTTGAGTTTAGAAAATAAAGTGTGGATCATTTCGCTGTTCTCTTATCAAGTTTAATATTAATATATCTACATTGCATATTAGATTTAATTGGAAGAATTTTCTGGGGCAATCTCTATGCTATATTTATAGAAGACCGACAATCTTATAAAACTTACCAAAGGTTTACATAAGCAGAAAGCTGAAAACCGCCTCTCCATAGTTTATCTATATTGGCTGCTGAGGTTGTAAGATAAGACTGAGGTATAGATTTAAAAAAAAAAATAACAAGATTTGGAGGAAACGGATAGTCTGGATGTGGGAGTAGTATGTTTTTACAGGAGATGGTACTCATAGTCTAGCTTGGTTTTCATTTTCTATCTTAAAAAATCAAAGATGTGATTTTTATTATGCTGCAAAACATATAAAAACCATCACATAGATTAGTTTTTAGTTCTGACAGTGAAAAACGTTTTTTTCCTTTGGAACTTTGAGACATTCTCATTATATAATTCCTCCTTCCTCCCTACCCCCGTGTCCCACCAATAGTACAATCATCCAGTTTTCCTTACAGAGCTTTAAAGGGACCATCAAAACACATCTCCAGGGACTCATTCCTATAGTTCCTGAGTCTCAATGTATTATTACAGTGCAGGTTCTATATACCCATCAGTATAGATATATTGAGCTCAGTTTACCCATAATGTGCTGCTGCCCTCTAGGTCAAATGTCAAGGAAGGATCAATAACAGTCACCAATAATCTTATGTTGTTCCTGAAAAGTGCCCCCATGCCCTCAAAGACCATATGAAACATATTTTAAAACTAACTGAAAAGAATCATGCAGCTTAAGAAAAACAGAGCAGATAATAAGCACCTCTAATGGCTATGGGAAATAATCCAATTAATATAAAACCATCAACACAATTTAGAAAAGGAGTCATTCCCACAAATGAAGTGCTAATGAGTACTGATCTTTATTAGTGCTTTTTACCCACTAGAATTAACCAGCACTAACTCTAGACAATGTAATTGCAAGCCAAGTGACTTGTTTCATTTCAAACTTTAAAAAAATGATCTTCCTTTTTAGCCAAGCAGTATTTTCTTCCAAAATGACTTAGCAGAATGAAAAGGAGGAATTTCAAGACTAAATATCAGCCAGACATTTCCTGACCTACATGAAGTCGTTGGCAAAAATTGCTGTGACCTGGTACCTGATGATATCGAGGGAGCCTAATGATAAGATGACCAACTATGATATGGTATTTGTTATATGATGTACCTGAGTCGGATTCCCTTCAAGAAGACATAATTTCTGAAAGAGCTTGTTTTAACCTAAAACATGATACCTGCAGTGTGGATCTTATGGATCATACTATATATTAAGATATATAGATGTGTGTGTGTATATATATATAGGAAGACCTATAGGAAGACCCTTATAGATCATACTATTATTAAGATGTATATCTCTCTTTATAATTTTGTGATCTATAAGATCCTTCCTATAGATCTTCCTATATATGTGTGTGTATATATATACATACACATTATAAATTAATATACATTATACCTGAGTTGCTTAAACACTATTAGATATTACTTTTACCCCAAGACTTACTCAAGAGGTAAAGGAAACACTTGAAAATTCTTACTCTCAATTAAAATCACTATTGCAAACATTTATTAAATGAGACTTTGAAATCACAGCAGAAAAATAAGCTCTAGAAAGCAATTCTAAAGAAATAGGGAGGCCCCGACAAAGACACACGGCAATATTTTAAAAACTTTTAAAACAGTTTATGAGACTGGAGCAGCTGGGCTGTTTCTACACTCCTGAGAGAAGAAAGAAAAGGCCAGGCTTTACCTAGCTCTTTACTCGAAGTTGTAACAGCTGGAACGTTTCTTTTCAATAGTCACTCCCTATGTTGAGAACAAACGTACAATTGGCTTGTGAATGAAATATGTGTATATTAAAAATCTGACATTATGTGTAGCTACTTGGGGACAAACAGTTCATTCATCCATGACCTGTGATCTTTCTTTGGCAGTAGACACTATCATTCCCATCAGTGTTGATTTTTCTATTTTCTTTCTCCAAAATTGCATAATATTTGAATAGATCTATCTATATAGATAGATATATAGGTAGGTAGGTAGGTAGATAGATACACTTAGATAAATAGATTTTGCAAGTCTTACCAGACATCCATACAATATACCACTTTTCATTATGACAGGAAATTTTAAATGTGCTGAGTGATTGGTTCAAGGAATACTTTATAAATGCTGGCTTCTGAGTTATCATAGGCATGCTTGAATTTGGATCATATATTTAGCAGTAATATCTTGTCAAAAGCCACACAAGCCACACCTGAGACAACCTGAAAGCAGGGGAACTGACAATGTTTTTATCTGAACACAGGTCCTGTCCCTTTAAGAATCTGATAAGGGAGATGGACTTCCTCCCCAGGAAATGGACATAAGCATACAAAATATTGTGTCTAATTTTAAGGGATTCAGAGACTTTCCTAAGAAAAGTGCACAGGCTCTTTAGAAAACATTCACCTAGTTGGATGTAGGAAGACCCTGACATCAACTTAGCTCATTTGATGGAAGATTCTGGGAAGTGTGTCCTAGTAGTTGTATGAGCTGTGCTGAATCCGGCTCCTTGAGTATAGAGAACTATTTGTTTAGCTGATTAGTTGCTTCTAAAGGAGAAGAAGAAAATTAATGGGTTGGACAGGGAGAATTCCTTCAATCTCTGACCTATTTTTTTTTTTTTTTTTTGCTAACATAATAACAAGATATGGTTTTCTTTTCTTTTTTTATAGCATCATTCATCCTGAACTCCGAAAGTGGTAAAAAATAGTAATAACATATCTGCAAGAGGCAGTTCAGGGAATATCTGAAGTATGAAGTGGTCTTTTTATTTCCATAATGGTGGAAAGTAACTATTTCAATCAATGAATTCTATGTATCATGCCATAGAAAGGAAAATGAAATATTAAGACACATATACAGATTGTACATATAAGTTAATATACATTATACTTAAGTTGCTTAAAGTATGATTCTATTTCACTTTCTTAGGAGGTAGAAGAAATATCAGTGCTGAAAGGATATTTGCCTCCTCCCTAAAGTCGGAAAGAATTGATGCCCAGAGCTTTTCCTTGGAAGAATCCTTGCCAGTAACAGAAGCTATTTAATAAAAAAAAAATTACCATCAAGTCAATTCTGACTCATGGCAACACCATGAATTACAGAATAGAACTGTGCTCCATAGGGGTTTTTTTGGCTGTAACCTTTATGGAAACTGATTGAAAGTCCTCTCTCCCACAGAGCTAATGGGTGGGTTTGAACTGCCAATCTTTCAGTTAGCCAGTCGTAAACCACTTGCACCACCCATGCTCCTTACAGAGGGCATTATGTGATTGAAATATCAATGGAAGTGTTGACTATAGAGATTGCTCCTAAAAGATGATCTCCTCAAATTAAAATTCTGTATCTTTCTCTTTTTTTTTTCTAGAAATGAGTTCATTATATGTTCCCAAAATTTTGATGGCTCTTAAACACTTTAAAAATTGATAACTTTCATTTTTAAAAATTTTCAGTAGAACTAATATAAAATACCATGTGGGTGTTTTTAAATCATGTATTTTATTTTCTTAGCAGTAATGCATCCTAAGTATTTTCAGAGTTCAATACCATTAGTAAGAAAAAAAAAAAGGTTAAATATCAGTGTTACTCTATTTACAATCAAAACTGTATTGAAAGAATTTGTTCCACTTGATATGGGGTACTGATTATTTTCAGTCTAACTATGGGACACCGTGTCAGTGTTTAGATGTTCTGGATGTAGTCATAGAGTCTTCTGTATACTGAATGAAAGGATCGTAACATATTACGAGGGGGCAAATCCTACTTCTGGTGTGGAATCCACAATGATCAAGTGTGATTGTTCTTAGATCTGGTTGCCATTCCTGACTTTGGGCCTGGAGCCATGGAAAATTGGGGCCTTATCACATATAGAGAGACATCACTGCTCTTTGATCCCAAGACGTCTTCTGCTTCTGACAAACTGTGGGTCACCGAGGTCATAGCCCATGAACTAGCACACCAGGTACCCCACCTCATGACATTTTCTTAGTATCAGCCCCAAAGAGCATTATACAGAACCCCATCAATCTTCCTGAAACAACATAAAAATCACACCATTTACTTCTAGAGGGGACCTTAGGGATCATCAAATCTAACAGCAGTATGTCAATAGTTAAGGACTCAATCTCTAGACTATGGGATTCATACTGGAATTTTATCAAAAGAGAAGTAACTACTATGTATATTTATCCTTTAAAACCCTGCAAAGCAAAGCAGTGGTTCAAATGTCATTTGGTAAAGATGAGTAGGGCTATGCAGACATACAGAGCACAGAACTGGAAATCCTACAAAGATTTCTATTAAAAATATTTCTCCTTTTACCGTCTAGTTCCCTGCCATTCCAATTCAGGGCAAAATCAATCTCCCTTCAGTTGGAACCTGTGATTACGTGGCCATAATGAAGTACTTCAAGTTCAAGTACTCACAGGCTACTTGACCCTGGGCATGTTGCCTAACTTCTCTGACAATGGGTGTCCTCATCTATAAAATGAATTTAATATTAGTACCTGCTTCATAAAACTGTTCTGAGGATGACAGATAAGGGAAGTGCCTGTGCCTGTCATATAGTAAGCGCTTGATAAATGTTAGTTATTAATGGCAATGCAGTCAAGTGTTATAGGTACTATGGCTACTACTATCACTAGTACTAGTAGTATTAGTACTACCACTAGTACTACTAACACTCCTTGTAGGATAAGATTCCCAAGGGCCATCTCTCAACACTATATTACGTACAAATATGGAAGTGTAAAACTAAGTCTATAAGTATCAGAAACTGTTTCTATTCTCTCTGATTTCTGAAAATTCCTAGTAACTCAGCAAATTACTAAAAGCACGGGAAATTCTCTTTCACCATGTAGGCAAATATCATTCCATTGTAGAATCCAGTAAAATAGCTTTTTAAATATTTTTTTAAACTTTATCCTTTATTATTACCATAATCAAGTTTTTTTGAAAGCAACGAACTAAGTACCAATTACATAGGAGGCCATGCTCAGCGCTGAACTTTGAGAACGTATGGGCTGCTTCCTCTGGTTCAGAATCTCCCCCACTGGCCCATTTTAGGTGTTTTGATTATTAGTCATTGGGGGCTCTAAAGCACTTAACTGAGTCTGGGGATTCCTTATCTTTCTGCCCCATGTTTGTAGGGAAATGGTCTGAGAGCTTTGCCTTTGAGGCTCCACGCTTTGTCTGTGCATTCTTTTAATAGTTCCTCCTTTATGGAGACGCAGAGTCTCGGGCTGAAGCAGCAGACAGCATTTTTGCACTGACTGTTTTATCTTCCCACTGGTCTCCCTATGACTGTATCACTCCTCTGTGTAAAACCTTAGCAAGGATTCCCCATTGCCAACTGGGTGGGTCAGGGGTCGTTAGCATGGCATACAAGGCCCCCATGGCCCGATCCCTACCTATTTGTCCAGTCGCATCTCTTACCCACCCTAAGCTTTACCCATCCAGACTACCTGCCATTTTCTAAGCGTGCCAGTTTGTATCACCCTCTATACCTTTGCTCCTGTTGTCTGATCTGCCTAGAGCACAAACCACTCCCTGAGGACTACTTACAAGACTCAGGTAATGAATCATTTCTTAGCTCTCCTATACACCCTCTCAGCAGAACTGATTATTTCCTCCTGGAATTCCCTTTGTCCCTGGCCTAGACATTGGTGATAGCACCTGTAACACTTGACTGCATTTATTTGTCTACTGGTTGACCTCTGTCATTTGTATTGGGGCTGTGGCTGTATTATATCCATCTTTGTATTTCTAACATATGGCATGGGGCCAGGCATATAGTAGGTTTTCAATAGATATTTGTTGAATGAATGAATAAACCATTACCAACTGATCAAATAACCAACCCATACTTCTCATATTCACTATTTCTCAAACTGAGGAAATACTTTCCATCCCTTCTCACTATGCTCTTGGGAAGATTAGTGCCCACTTGCAAAATGATTTACAAGTCCCAAAAAAGCAATAGAGCTTAAACAGTTTCTAAAAGCCATAGACCTAGCATTTTTTGTTCTGTAACTATAACAAAAGCTCTTCTGAATCTTAGAATCTTGCTTAAGCTCCCTGTCGTTCTGGAGATCGCAGTTCTAAAATAGATATGCTAGATGCGTAGTATTGGGCATATGTGAAATTAATTAACTAATTAGTAAATAGATAAATAATATAAAAGTACATGAAAGAATAGTAATATATAAAAATATTTAATCTGTTACAAATTAAATGTAGACCAAAGGTAGGTCTCTATTTAGATTATCCTTATGCATCCTTTTTATCTTATTCATATGTTTTTTAGATCTCCGACCTTCATTCTCTTTAGTGGCCAACTTAATCCCTTGAAGTAAGTCAGGGCAGAGGTTAAATACCAAATTTGCTCATCAGTACTATTATGTAACAATCCGAGAGATCTAAATGAATTTTTATGATTTTCTTTAGTATCTGCTATTTAATATCAAAAGGGGACTTCACCAAGGACATTTTGGCTTATATTTATGTTCAAACCATAATAATAAATCAATTTTTATTTATTATTATGGCCTGAGGATAAATACAAAAATTAATAATAAATAAATAAAATTATTTATTATTAATTTTTCTTATTATGCAAAAAAGAAAAACTACCCTACAAAAGATTTCATTTTCTTCCTTTATACGAAACCTAATAGCTAGGAAATGTTGAGAGGATGGAATAGGAGTTGAAGAGTTAGGAGACTAGAGGCAGTAAGAACACAGTAGAAAGAGAAGAGAAGTGAAATGGTGATGGGGAAAATGAAAAGATGAAGAAACAAGTAAAAGAAAGTTATGCAAGAGAAAAGGGTAACAAAGAGAATCCTTTTTTTTCTTCTACAATTAATACTTTTTATATATTTTTTAACTTCTAATAAAACTGAAATTTTACCTCCTAGTGGTTTGGCAACCTGGTTACAATGGAGTGGTGGAATGATATTTGGCTCAATGAGGGTTTTGCAACATACATGGAGCTTATCTCTATTAATGCTACATATCCAGAACTACAGTTTGTAAGTTCACCGTTTTGTATATCATACTATACATCCTAAGAAATCATTAATTTATTGTTAAAATTTTTAGTCAATGCTAAAAAGAAAACAATATAGCATTATGTTTTTTGGACAAATAGTATTATGTTTGCTATATGAAAAAGATCATAAAACTGGATGAGACATTGAAGTTATAAAAAACAATCAATATAGAAGCCTCACTCAAAAGAGAGAGCAAGTTAGCGCAGATACACAGCTGTGTATATGGGGTGAGAAGAAAGACTATCACTGTCCATATACACTCACACAGTAATACCCATGACTGCTAGGTCCTGTGCAGAGTTCTTGGCTTGTAACCTGAATTGAGCATGACTGGAGTCACATTCTTCCAGAACTTTCAAAGGACCTGTTGGCTTCCCCAAAATGTATAAAGGGGTTTCTTAAAACATGTCTTTTTTTTTTTTTTTTCTTTTTTGAGCATAAAGGATCTGTACACTTCCCACATCCATCTATCGTGATTGTTAGAATGGTTAATCAGCTCTTTGGAGGAGACATTTGATCCAATATGGTATACACAGATATGGGGTCAAATTTAGGGTCTTTTTAATTGCTATGTGCTGACTAAGTTGTTTAATCCTGAAGCTTCATATACTCTCTCTTGCAAAATATGTATAATGCATCTCCCGTGCAGAAATTTTTAAAGGCTTGCAGGTGCTGGATGTAAGGTCTTGGCACATAGCAAGAGTCCCCTAAGTGGGAAGAATTACTTTTATTTCCAAGAGCTTAATACATGATAAACATTCAGGCAATTTCTGAGGGAATGTTGGATTTGTAACTTTATGAGGTAGAGAATTGGGAAAGGAAAATATATAAAGAGAAAAGAATATCTTGCAAGAAATATTGATTGAATCCTTATCTCTAAGGACAACTTATTAAACTTAGCATGTTTTCTATTGCTTTGAGAGTGTCTAACAGAAACTGAAGAACATTTTTTTCTCCCCTTTTAGGATGATTATTTTTTGAATGTATGTTTTGAAGCAATTGCAAAAGACACATTGAATTCATCCCGACCTATTTCCAATCCAGCGGAAACTCCTACTGAAGTACAGGAAATGTTTGATGTGGTTTCCTATAATAAGGTAGTAAATGCTGTATACAGGTGGAAGCTCTGCTTTCAGGAGATATATAATGAGATATGTAAAATCAACAGTTTAAGTTGTTGGTGCCAGATTACTGTTACCTTTAAATTTACTCTTCATTTTTCGGACATTACATACATTCAGCTTCCTTTGTAAATATATCATACTACCTTTTCCTTTATCTTTTTTTTTTTTTTCCTTTTCTTTAGGGAGCTTGTATTTTGAATATGCTCAAGGATTTTCTGACTGATGAGAAATTCCAGGAAGGAATAACTCACTACATAAGGAAGTTCAGTTACAGAAATGCTAAGAATGATGATTTGTGGGGAAGTCTGTCAAATGTAAGTCATATGTTAGGTTGAAAAGAACAGACTAACTACAAAGATTTTTAAATAGTTTTATTGTTAGCCAACTAATATTTATTGCACTTACCAGGCTGCTAAGGTCCACAGAAGGCAACACTTTTCTTTCTCCTCTGGCACCATGCTAGACCAGGATGCCATCACCACATACCGGAAGGACCACCAAAAACCAGTTGTCATCAAGTAGACTCCGACTCGTGGCTACCTTATGTGTTTCAAAGTAGAAATGTGCATAATAGGGTTTTCAATCACTGATTTTTCAGAAGTAGATCACCAGGCCTTTCTTCTGAGGCATTTTTGGGTAGACTCAAATCTCCAACCTTTTGGCTAACAGCCAAATGCATTAACCATTTGCACCACCGGGGACCCTGGAATGACCACAGGCATTCCCTGTTTGACCTCTCTGTCTTTGGTTTCCTGTCAGTGGTTAGTCCTGCATTTCTAACTTCCTTTGTTCCAACATCTTTAGTGACTTTGTATTTCATACCATATAACATGTATATTATAACATCTCTGCCCAAATTATAAGGTGAAGATTATCTGCTCAGCCTTATTCCCCAACATGTATGCTCTGTTGAGTGAAACTAATCTCTGCTTCATAAGAAGAAATCTTGTTCAATACCACCTTGTGCTTTTGTTTCTAGTACCCTTGCTACCTGAAATGCCCTTTCTTTTTTTCACCAACTCAAACCCTACCCATCTTTGGAGATCCACCAGAGATTTCACTTCCTCTTTATCAGACTGCTGCAGCCCTCACTGATTTGCCTGTCTGCTGAATGCCTAGAAGAGTACTTACATTCTGTTCCACACGTGATATTCTTGTTAATTGCGTGGGCTTCTAACTTGCTTAAGAGCAAGAATCATATCCTTTTTTTAGTGCCATGCACTAGCATAGTATTGATCCTCTAGTTGTGATAAATAGTTAATGATTGATTAAAGAACACATGGTCTCTTTGTCTTCAGGATTCATGTAGTATAATACGGAAGACAAAGCAGAAAACATGCAGTCAACTTAGAGGAGTCTGATAGATATTAAAATAGTAAAAAAAATTTCAACTGCAAAGAAAATAATCTTTCATAGAATTATTGGACTGTTTAGACTCATGCCTTTAGATAAAAGAGCCCCAAGCCATTGTAGCCAGAAGAGGTCCTTACTTCTTTACAAGCACATATGTCCCAGGGACGGTCATAATATTGCTCAACATTTGTACAGCGCTTTACAGTTTAAAAAGCACTTTCACGTGTGTTTGATTCTTTGCGTGCTTATAAAGCCTGGACCCAAATGGTCCAATTTAAGTGTGATTTTTCTGGTCAAAGAAACAAAGAATGGCAATCAAAAATTATTTCAAAGTAACTGAAATCTCTTACTTGCATTTCTTAAAAATCATGAAAGGAATCAAAATACAAAGTCCTTAGAAAAACTTATAAAAATCCTCTTTACTGTCCATTTCTATCATGCCCTGCAGGTGATCCAGACACTCAATCTCGCGATTCCTCCTAAACCTCTCAACACCTAGCCTCATGTTGCTTTTGTCCCTCATCCCTCTCCTTTGGTCTGTGTGTATTTGTGTGTATGTGTATGTGTGTGTGTGTTTGTGTGTAGATATCAATCTAGCCTCTCTCCAACAAAGAAGACTCTGTTTTTGGTGTACATGGTGAGGGTGAGGAGTAATTCAAGGGGAAATGTGGTCAGCAATTATAGGACTTTTTTTACATTTTATTGTGTTTTAGGTGAAAGTTTAGTTTTTCATTCAAAAATTTTATACACAAATTGTTTTGTGACGTTAGTTGCAATCCCTGCAATGTGTCAGCACTCCCCCCCTTTCCCTTTCCACCCTGGGTTCTCTGTGTCCATTCATCCAGTTTTAGCATCCCTTCCTGCCTTCTTGGCTTTGCTTTTGGGCAGGTGTTGCCCATTTGGTCTCATATACTTTATTGAACCAAGAGGCACGTCCTTCATGTGTGTTATGGTTTGTTTTATAGGTCTATCTAATCTTTGGCTGAAAGATGGGCTTCTGGAGTGGCTTCAGTTCTGAGTTAGCAGAATGTCTGAGGGCCATAGTCTCAGAGGTTCCTCCAGTCACTGTCAGACCAGGAAGTCTGGTCTTTTTTTGTGAATTTGAATTTTGTTCTACATTTTTCTCCCACTCTTCCTGGGACTGTCTATTGTGATCCCTTGTCAAAGTGGTCGTGGTGGTAGCCAGGCTCCATCTAGTTCTTCTGGGCTCAGGTTGGTGGAGGCTGTGGTTCATGTGGTCTCTTAGTCCTTTGGACTAATATTTTCCTTATGTTTTTGGTTTTCTTCATTCTTCTTTGCTCTGAATGCTCTGGGACCAATAGATGTATCTTAGACAGCTGCTCACAAGCTTTTAAGACCCCAGATGCTACTCACCAAAGTAGGCTGTGGAACATTTTCTTTATGAATTATGTTATGCCAGTTGACCTAGATGTACCCTGAGACCATGGTCCCCAGCCCTCAACCCCAGTAACTCAGTCCCTCAAGGTGTTTGGGTGTATCTAGGAAGCTTCCATGACTGCCTTGGTCAAGTCATGCTGACTTCCCCTATATTGTGTGTTGTCTTTCCCTTCATTGAAGTTAACACTTGTCTACTATCTAGTTAGTGATTTCTCCTACCCACACTTCTCTTCCCTCATAACCATCAAAGATTGTTTTTTCTGTGTGTAAACCTTTTCTTGGGTTTTTATAATAGTGGTCTCATACAGTATTTGTTACAGGAGTCTTTTAGGCTATCTGAGGAGGAAATGAAACTATCAACACTCCTATGTTAATTTTTGTCACATCATGCTTATAACTATCTCAAGAAGATAAGGTGGGCATCCTGGCTTGTCTTGGTTTCCTAGTGTGGCTATATCAGAAGTACCACAAGTAATTGGTTTTAAAGAACAGAAATTTCTTTTCTCACAGTTCTGAAGGCTAAAAGTCCAAATCAGGATCTTGGCCATGCTGATTCCTTCTTTGAGCCTCTCGCCCAGCTACTGGTGTGTGCAGGTGATCCTTAGTTCCTTTACTTGTAGACGATTCTCACATGTCATCTGTCTTCCCTTATGTGTGTGTGTCTCTGTCTCTGTGTCTAATCTGTTCTTTTTATAAATCAAAAGTGATTAGATTTAGAACCCACCCTACTCAGTGTGATCTGATTAACATAACAAAGAAACCCCTATTTTTAAACAGGATTACATCCACAAGTATAGAGGTTAGGATTCCAATACATATTTTGTTGTTGTTAGGTGCCATCGAGTCTATTTCAACTCATAGCAACTCCATGCGACAGAGTAGAAGTGCTCCCACGGGTTTTCTTGGCTGTAATTTTTATGGAAGCAGATTGCCAGATCTTTCTCCTGTGGAGTTGCTAGGTGGTTTCAAACCACCACCCTTTCAGTTAGCAGCCAAGCACTTAACTATTTTCACCAACAGGGCTCCTTTAATACATGTTTTGGTAGAAATATGTTCCCATTTTACAGATGGGAACACTAAGATTAAGGGACATTGATTTGCCCAAGGTCATGTACCACGTCAGTGCTTAAAATCCATCTTCTGACTTGTATTCATTCTTTCAGTTACATCACAGCTGCTTCCTGGTTATCAAGAAAGTCTCCCGTTTAGGTCCGGGAGTCTAGCTGATTCCCTTCTGATACCCAATGACGCCATGATATAAAAACAATAAATTCCTGCAAATACGTTACTCATCATTGTGTCACATAAAGTCAACTCTAATACATGACAATAGCAACTTGGGAATTAAAAGAATTCTGTGTTGTTATTTTTCATAAGTCTATTTTATAGCACTTGAGAGACTCTCTATTTCACTATTTTTCTGTTTAAAGTTCCCCTTATAGCATTAACTCCTGGTTATTCAAGGGTAGATTGCCAAATTAGTGATTTTCTTGAGTATCATTTCAATTCCATTCACTTCAAAATTTATTGTGTACCCACTAAATGCTACTGTGGTAGTCATTGTGGGACTGTTCAGGTAAGTAAAGGTGTTTTCCCCACTGCAAAAGAACTCTGATCATATTTGATAGAAAAAAGTTAACATTAGACAGACTTGTATAAATGCTGAATACGGGCCCAAGTAATATGCACAATATTACCCAGGGGTAAGGGAAGAAATGAAAGGAAAATTCAACACTTTTACAAATTGACTGAAAATTCAAAAAAGGCTATTCCAACACATTGAACTTCTTTAGAAGTTAAATATATGTATTTCTTTAACAAGAGAAATTTTTGTAACCCTGAGAGTACAGCCCCCGGACACCCCTTTAGCTCAGTGTTGAAGTCACTCCCGAAGTTCACAGTTCAGCCAGGGATTGGACAGCCCCATAAAACGAAATGGGACTAATGAGGTACAGAAGTCCAGGGACAAGGACTAGAAGGCAGAAGGGGACAGGAAAGCTGGTGATGGGGAACCCAAGGTTGAGTAAGGACAGTGTTGACATGTAATGGGGTTGTTAACCATTGTCATAGGGCAACATGTGTACTGTTTAATGAGAAACTATTTTGTTCTGTAAACCAACGTCATAAAACAAGATGTGTACTGACTGTTAAATGAGAAAATATTTGTTCTGTAAACCTTCACCTAAAGTACATTAAAAAAAATTATTTTTTTCAACCAAAAAAAGAGAAATTTTTGTGTATTTCCATCCTATGGTCACTGCAAAGATGCTTTTTTTTTTTTTTTTTTCATTTTCACTGTGTCTTGATGAATTAAATTTTACATTTTCACATAGCTATATTAATAAGTATTTGCATTCGTGTGTAATATGCATTTTCAGCCAACTCTCAGTGCCCAAATGACAGTCTTCTTTATTCTTGTTTTATAGAGTTGTTTAGAAGGTGATTTTATATCTGGTGGATTTTGCTATTCCAATTCCAAGATGACAAGTAACACAGTAAGTACAAAGAGAGCTACAGAGCAGAAGAGATCAGGTGCATCTTTCTGACCTGGAGTGAGAATAATAGAGTAGCCCACTTCTCCCTTTAAAATAACTGGAGAGGAAAAATGACTCCATGATTTTCCTTAAAACAAACCTAACTGAAGAAGGAATGTTCAAGCCATACAGAGGGATGATGCTGTTACTACTATTTTTTTTTTTTTTTTTTTTGCTATTATAATTAAGCTTCTCCACAACCCTACTGCTAGCTGAAAGTGTCTCAGCTTAAAATTCTTTTTTGAGTGGCTACTGCTGCATTTGGCATTCCCCTAGGCTCTGAAAAAATGCCACACCAAGTATATTGTTGGGTTTGGAAGTAGAGTGTATGACTTTCTTGTTTCTGCTTACCTCAGGAGAGTTACTGAATTACTGTAGAGGGAGAAAGAAAGTCATAATGAAAAAACGGCCAACTCTTGGAAAGAGTCATGATAATTCCCCAAGTTGTTGCTGTAGTTAGTTGTCGCAGAGTCGATTCTGACTCGTGGCGACCCCATGTAATGGTTTGTAAAGGAAGATTCAAATCTATCCAGTGACCGCAAATCTATTTTAGAAGCTAAGAAGCTAGAGGTTTTGTTCTCTGCTCAATACACCTCTACTGATGTAATATTGTCCCATTGGAATATTTACAGCTTCTCTAAAGGCAGACATTTCACTCCTTAACCATCTTCTAGATTCCACCAATACTGTAGTAAATGAAGGGTTTTCTTTGGGGAAGGGAGGGGGAGCAGGAGGAAGGCTTCAGTCTCAGCCGCTCCCCTTATCTTCCTCTTTGGCTTTTCCTGCCCCGTCTTAATCTCCAGCTCCCACGCGTGTTCCTCATTCAGGCAATTTGCGGAGAGCAGCCCCAGACGTTAAAGTAGCCCAGCCAAATGAATCCATCTGCTCCTGCCCCCATTGCCCTCCCCTGAGATTCAAGTCAGAGCCCTCTCAGGGAGGTTGAGTTTCTGAACTCTTTGGATTCTCGTTTCTCCCTTTAGTTATCAAAATCACTTGTGATTTCAGCTCAGCTTTCTGCAGAAGAATGTGGAAATCAACGAGATGATGAATACATGGACTCTCCAGAAAGGAATCCCGCTCGTGGTGGTTAAACAAGAAGGGCGTTCACTGAGACTACACCAGGAGCTTTTCCTGAAGGGAGTTTTCAGAGAGGACCCTGAATGGGGGACTCTGCAGGAAAGGTGGCTAATTTTCTTTCTTCTTCTGGTCCAGTTTACCTCATCTTGGTTTGCTCACTATTATTTCGTTAGCTTCTTTCAGCTGCTCTGGCAACTTTGTGGAAAGCTATTCCTACATAGGAATCAAAGGCCTAAACCAGCCTTGGTAACAAATTTAAAGAGCTTCAGGTGGCCCAGACTGCCTTTTTCAGCAGCCCTGTTCCTAATAATTCCATGTTCCGATGCAGAGGGTGATCAGTTATATTTCTATTATACCCTGACTTTTAAATAGACTCTTCAGTGCTAGATTTCTGGACACTGATAAATTGTGTGACTGGCTGATACCTAGGAAGCATTATGGCAGCTAGACATCTTACCAGAGAAAAGATACTCCCTATGTGATAAATTCGATGCTAAGACTTCCTGTTGCCTTTTGTTTTCAGTAATAGACTATAAAATGCAATATCTTAAAACATATGATGTTCTTGGTAGTAATGAAAGCAAATCCAATTAACCACACAGTCATCTCATTCACCAGGCTATCATGAGAAATCTTAGTAAAGGCTTTACTGAAATAAAAATACTGTCCACATTTCTCTGCTCAATTAGCCCTATTAATGTGATAAATGAGGTTTATTTAAAATGAAATTATCCAAGTAAACCTATGCTGGTTCTTATGATTATTGTTTCTTTTTTCTAAGGTGTTTTAATAATAAATTCTATAATTTTTTTGAGAATCAAAAGCCAATGCGAAGTCTTTAACACATAGAATATACGATTTTCCTTTTTTGTTTTGTCAGTTGCGTGCTCCCAATCCAACAGCAATTCTTATCCCACTTCTGTATGTGCACATCCTTCTAAAGTCTAAACGTCAAAGAGCTTAGACAATTTGTAGCTTGGCAACAGAGCCTGGAAAAATTAATGTTTGATTCATTCTTGGAAACACAGGACTCACAATTTTGGAACCTGTCACAAGTAATGAGAGAGTTCAAAACTGTGGACGGCCCTGAATAATAAATATCTACTACAGTGATCTGTACTTTTCCTCTGTCTGGGCAGTATCTAGACAACTCACAAGATTATTACCCTCTGATTCAGGGCTATCTCATGAAGTGCTACTCTCTCTCTACCTCCAAATATGTTTATATAGAAAAATCCCTTTCCTTCTAGAGTCAAGATCCACCCACAAATTCCAAACCATTAAGACTTGGCAATGTGCATATGTCGACTTTTACATTTTTGTAGAAATATTTCAAGTTTGCTTTGTTAATTACCCGTCCTTTGTGGATTAGCATGTAGATTATTCCTTCTGTCCCTTTACTGGAGCATGTCAGTGTATGTTATTCCTTTATTGTTTTATATTTTTCTGAGGAATAATGGATACTTTCTTAGTTGCTCTTCTGTTTTACACTTGTTGATATTATCAAGCACATGATTTCACATGGGCAGGATTACTATAGCTAATATGGATAGAGGAAATGGATTCTAGAGACTGTTAGAAAATTAGACCAAAAAATAGCAAACTTCCAAGGTCATGGAAGCTCCATAGACATATCCAAACTCCCTGAGAGACTGAGTTGCTGGACTGAGGGCTATGGGGACCATGGTCTCAGGAAACATCTAGCTCAATTGGCATAACATAGTTTATAAAGAAAATGTTCTACATTCTACTTTGGTGAGTAGTGTCTGGGGTCTTAAAAGTTTGTGAGCAGCCATCTAAGATACTCCACTGGTCTCACCCCATCGGGAGAAGGGAGAATGAAGAATACCAAAGACACAAGGGAAAGATTAGTCCAAAGGATTAATGGAGCAAAACTACCACAGCTTCCACCAGACTGAGTACAGCACAACTAGTTGGTGCCCGGCTACCACCATTGACTGCTCTGACAGGGATCACAATAGAGTGTCCCGGACAGAGCTGGAGAAAAATGTAGAACAAAATTCTAACTCACAAAAAAAGACCAGACTTACTGGCCTGACAGAGACTGGAGAAACCCCGAGAGTATGGCCCCTGGACACCCTTTTAGCTTAGTAATGAAGTCACTCCTGAGGTTCACCCTTCAGCTGAAGATTAGCCAGGCCCATAAAACAAAAGGAGACTAAAGGGGCACACCAGCCCAGGGGCAAGGACTAGAAGGCAGGAGGGGACAGGAAAGCTGGTAATGGGAAACCCAAGGTCAAGAAGGGAGACTGTTGACATGTCTTGGGGTTGGTAACCAATGTCACAAAACAGTATGTCTACTAATTGTTTAATGCGAAGCTAGTTTGTTCTGTAAACCTTCATCTAAAGTATAATAAAAGAAGAAAATAGCCAATTCCTGATATTTCAATAATAGGGCTACTGAAAAGTAACTGAAGCTTTTTCTTCCAATCCATTCTACTTTTCTGCTCTCTGGACTTGGCTCTCCTGCTGACCACTTGCTTGCAGTCACTTAGCAGTTGGGTGTTGTATGTGGGTTGCCTTGTTGAACAAAAGGATAAGTGAAAAGTCACACTGAAGTAAGTTCTTTACCTCCTAAGGCTTTTCCTACAGCTTTGGTTTGGTTATTTCAATTAACATCAGGCTGTCATTTGGAGTTTTTGCATAGGTGAAAGGAAGACTGGATTTTTTTTTTTCTCTAACTTAGAAGAAAACAAACAGAAGAACTTGCTGTGGTATAGGATTTGGACAGCAAAAGGCATAGGTATTTGTGACAGAGTTCAAGTAGGTACATATTGTTGTACCTTCATAATTATCTTGGAAGAAGTATTTGCTGAGATTTTAGTCCAAGGATATACTAGCCTTAAAAAATTTTAAGGCCACTGATAGTGTAAAGGATGTGTGATTAAGTGCTTTTTAGAGTCTGAGTCTAATAATGTGAAAGTCGAAATAGCCATTTCATATGTAATGATCTTTACTTTCTAACATAGGTACCTTTGGCAAATCCCACTGACATACTCCACGAGTTCTTCTAATATGATTCACAGACATGTTCTAAAATCAAAGAGAGGTAATGAACTAATTAGCCAAATAGATGTTTTAATGCTAAAATTAAACATGTTTTGAGCTATTTGAAAGAAAGATACTATAAGTAAAGCTAATAAAAGATTTATGTCTGGGGAAGTTCTCACTTGTCCATATATTACCAACAGAAGCCTTCAGCTAGAAGTCTGAATTATTTTCCATTCACTGGGATGTTCTCTTATGCTTTTAACATTTAAAGATAGATTTGTATTTATATTAAGAAATGATAGAATCCCATTTTATGTCCTATGATACCTACTAATCCAGCTCTTATGCCATGAGGCAAAAATATATAATGGAAAAAAGCATATACTTTGGAATCAATCGGTCTTGGGTTCAAATCCCTACTTTGTCACCTATTAGATATGTGACCTTAAAAAAAAAATTAATGTCTCCTGAAGCTTCAGTTTTCTCATCTTGTTTTAAATAGAGACAAGGCCTCACAGAGTTGTTGAGAGAATATTACAATGTAATTGTACCACCTAATATACTGCCTATCATGTAAAAAAATATATAATATAATTTTAATTTCTCCTCTAAGCACTGCACTAAAATTTGAGAGGGCTTCCATCATAAAGTCGTGTTCAACCTGTAATCCTTATTTCACCCAAAATAAGGACTGGACGAATAGATCACCTATTTAAATGACCGGTTTGACCATTTCAGGAGGTACCATATGAGTAGGAACCAATGGTACTGAAGGAAGAAGTCCAAGCTGCACTGAAGACATTGGCAAAAAAACAAAGCTCCAGGAATTGACAGAATACCAATTGAAATGTTTTAACAAATGGATGCGGCACTGGAAGTACTCACTCGTCTCTGCCAAGAAATTTGGAAGACCACTACCTGGCCAACTGACTGGAAGAGATCCATATTTATGCCTATTCCCAAGAAAGTTGATCCCACTGAATGCGGAAATTATCTAACAATATCATTAATATCACACGCAAGTAAAATTTTGCCGAAGATCATTCAAAAGCGGCTACAGCAGTATACCAACAAGGAACTTCCAGAAACTCAAGCCAGTTTCAGAAGAGGACACGGAACCATGGATATCATTGCTGATGTCAGATGGATCCTGGCTGAAAGCAAAGAATACCAGAACGATGTTTACCTGTGCTTTATTGACTATGCAAAGACATTTGATTGTGTGGATCATAACAAATTATGGATAACATTGCAAAGAATGGGAATTCCAGAACACTTAATTGTGCTCATGAGGAACCTGTACATAGATCAAGAGGCAGTCGTTCAAACAGAACATGGGGCTACTGCATGGTTTAAAGTCAGGAAAGGTGTGCGTCAGGGTTGTATCCTTTCACCATACCTATTCAATCTATATGCTGAGCAGATAATCCGAGAAGCTGGATTATATGAAGAAGAATGGGGCATCAGGATTGGAGGAAGACTCATTAACAACCTTTGATACGCAGATGACACAACCTTGCTTGCTGAAAGTGAAGAGGACTTGAAGCACTTACTGATAAGGATCAAAGACCACAGCATTCAGTATGGATTACATCTCAACATAAAGAAAACAAAAATCCTTACAACCAGACCAGTAAGCAACATTATGATAGACGGGGAAAAGATTGAAGTTGTCAAGGATTTCATTTTACTTGGATCCACAATCAACACCTATCAAAAGATGCATTGCACTGAGCAAATCTGCTGCTAAAGACCTCTTTAAAGTGCTGAAAAGTAAAGACATCACCTTGATGACTAAGGTATGCCTGACTCAAGTCATGGTGTTTTCAGTTGCCTCATACGCATGTGAAAATGGGACGGTGAATAAGGAAGACTGAAGAAGAATTGATGCCTTTGAATTGTGGTGTTGAAGATTATTGAGTATACCATGGACTGCCAAAAGAAAGAACAAATATGTCTTGGAAGAATTATAATCAGAAAGCTCCTTAGAAGCAAGGATGATGAGACTACATCTCACAGACCCTGGACATGTTGTCAGGAAGGATCGGTCCCTGGAGAAGGACATCATGCTTGGTAAAGTAGAAGGTCAGAGAAAAAGAGGAAGACCCTCAGTGAGATGGATTGACACAGTGGCTGCAACAATGGACTTAAGCATACAATGATCGTGAGGATGGCGCAGGACCAGGCAACGTTTCATTCCATGTACATAGGGTCGCTATGAGTTGGAACCAACTCAATGGCATCTAACAACAACAGCAGCAACTAAACCTTGAGACAAGAGCATGAGTAAATTAAGCCAAATTCCAGTCTTGCTGAGATCGGCTAGTTAACCGAGTCCTTGCATACCTCTTGAACCTGCATAGACTGCTTTTTTGAGAACAAGTTCAGCAGTCCTTTCCCTATGAATTAATTTATTTTTCAAGTTAGGACCATCTTCCCCAAAGAGACCGTCCAGCGGAGTATGAAAATTATTATTGTTATGATGCTTCCAAAACTTTGTTTTTCCATTGACTTATTAGTAATAGTATGGAAACTAATATTTTTGGAGATGTACCTGGTGTGCGTGTTGATAATGAAATGTCTATGCCAATTTCCTCCTCTTAGATACTCTGGAATTACCGGAAAAGACCAGTTGGTTGAAATTCAATGTGGACTCAAATGGCTATTACATCGTTCATTATGAGGGGCATGGCTGGGACCACCTCATTACACAGTTGAATCAGAACCACACACTTCTCAGACCTAAGGACAGAGTAGGTCTAATTCATGATGCATTTCAGCTGGTTAGGTAAGTAATGCAGCATTTCATCTGATTTCACAGGAAATAACGGATCCGTTAGTGGCTATGCCAGATTTCAGAATCAAATGTTCAGTGTTGATCATTCATAAGATATGGATCTTAATAGATGTCAAATGCTGGTCACCATAGGCCAAAGCCTGCCTACTGATGTATTTTGACCCACACAGTGTCTATAAATTTGACCCAACATTTATGAATGTGGAAAATTTACTTGACTTCTGGAATCTCTTTAAAATGAGAAGATTTGGCAGCATTCCCACAGGACAACCATAGGGAGAGTGCAGTGACAGATCTCCTTTTAGGTCATGCCTGCATTCTCCCATGTGCCAAAGTTCCAAACCACACACAATGGCCTATTTTAATCACCTAGGGTAGACCCTTGAAGCATTTGAGCTTTTGAACCCTGATTTAGAATTTATTTATGCCTCTAGCTGACTGTTACACCAAATACCTGTGTAGTCTGCTGGACAAGGAGTAGTTGAGTTGTCATCCTAGTGCACAATCCATTCATTATTTTATGTACATTGGAGAAACCAATAAGAAATTGATAGGAAAATGGGGAAAGAATTGGCTGCTTATGTTTATTCCACCCTAGACTTTCTTGGAAAGACAAAGTGCTTTCTTTTCCACTTATCATCAGCAGAATAATATGAAGAATAAATCAGGTCACAAGATCTCCAATGGGAAAAAAAATCAGGAGCCAGGTGGATATCTTGTAAGCTTTCCTATTCCGAGAGTTCCTGGAATGTATTCGCTTTATTCAGTGTGACATATTATTTCCTTTCAGATGCTTATTTAGGTCAAATTGAGTGAAAGTAACCAACAGGACATCTCTCAGGCAAAGCTTCTTCATACAACAGAACTCCCTAGTAAGAAAAATGCTAAATCTTCATTCCCATAGGTCTCAGGAGCATCACGGTAGCACAGAACATTGCAGATCAGGATTAGGAAAAACAATGTCCTACCTATGAGTGGATGCATAACGGGCTAGCTAAAAAGCAGGCTATTATTAGTTGAAAGTTTGTCTGTTCAAAGGAGAAGATCTGAGCAGATCCTGAGAAGGTAGATTAAAAATGTAAGAGTAGGGAGAATGAAGAATATTGACAACTCAGCAAATTAAAGCTAATCTATGTAATTTGAAAGTCTTTTTTTTTTTTTTTTTTTGTTCTTTCCAGTGTACAAATGTATGGGCAGTCTAAATTTATCAGAAGGAACCCTACAATTATTGATGCATCAGTGGAAAACTAATCTTTTTGTTATTAGACAGACAGGTTAATGTGGTGTAACAGTACAGGTGTTGGATTAAAACAGAGTTTGAGTTCAAGTACTACCTCTCCACTTATTAATTGTTTCAGCCTGGGCAAGTTATTTAACCTTTGTAAGCCTAAATTTTCTAGTCTTTGAAACTTTTCTAATATTTAAAACCCCAGTAACAATAATGTCTAACACACAGAGTTGTTTTGAGAATTGCATACGATAATGTAGATAAGGCAGTATGTACAGTACCTGCTCAATAAATGTTAACAGTTAGCCTTAGTAGTATTATCTAATAGAAATTACTTAAAAGATCATGTGTTGATCAGAATGATGAGATAGCAACACAGAAAAGTGCACATTTTAAACAACCTGAAGTTGAAAAAAAGCAAAATAGAAGTTTGTAAATTATTATGTTTGCAACTACGTAAGTGAAGAAAAGGGGACAGGGAGACCAGAAGGAAATACTCCAAAATGCTATTAGTGAATGTATGTAGCCACCCCATGTGACGGAGCAGAACTACCCCATGTGACGGAGCAGAACTGCCCCATAGGGTTTTCTAGGTCATAGTCTTTAACAGAGCAGGTCCCCAGGACTTTCTCCCAGGGAGCCGCTGGGGGGGTGGTTCAAACCACCAACCTTTCTGTTAGCAGCTGAGCACGTAACTGTTGCACCACCAGGGCTCCTTTTTAGTGAGTCCATTAAAAAACAAAACAAAACAGAACCCACTGCCGTTGAGTAGATTGCTAATAGCAACTATATAGGACAGAGTAGAACTGCTCTATATGGCTTCCAAGGCTGTAATCTTTATGGAAGTAAACTGCCATATCTTTCTCCTTTGAGCTGCTGGTGGGTTCAAACTGCTGATCTTTCAGTTAGCAGCCAAGTGCTTAACCATTGGGCCGCCAGGGCTCCTTCAGTGAATGTATAGATTAGTAAAATTATGAGTGTCTTTCTTCCCCCTGTTCTCTAGTTTCCAGTTGTTTTGTGATTTGCTTATATTTGTTTATATCACTTTTATAATGAAAAGAGATATTAAAAGGTGGCACAGTGGTTAAGAGCTATGGCTGCTAACCAAAAGGTCAGCAGTTCAAATCCACCAGCCATTCCTTGGAGACCCTATGGGGCAGTTCTACTCTATCCTATAGGGTCGCCATGAGTCAGAATCGACTCAACAGCATCGGGTTTGGTTTGTTTGGTTTTTGAATAAATATTCCGATTAAAACAAAGAACGGTGAGCAAATATAAAAGTAAAGGCTTCTAATAATGGTGTTTGTTTTAGTAACAAATAAATTAGTTTGGACTGAGAAGAAAATCAGCCTTAGTATAAAGTAATTTTTATATGTTAAACATTATTTTTAAAATTGTGACCCTAGAATATAATACTTTTTCTCCCTGTTGCTGCTGCCCTAAGGTATCAACTGTGCTGTAGATTATGATACTTACACACATAAGAAGGAACAGTGATGACATTTTGTGGAGTTGGTTTCTTAAAATATACAGCAGTCCATAGAATCATAGAGCATATGGTCCAGCCCTCTGTCTTCAGATGAATTTCTTGGAAATTTCCCCATAATTCTGTTCTAAAGTAATAATGTCACTATGATTGAGAAGAGTAAAATCACAACAAAAGTTGATTATTTTTCATCTCACTTCTTTCTAGTTTCAGTTCCCTCTTCTTAGATAAGAATTTAAAATTTAAAAAAATGCAAAGGAGGTAGAGCATTATGTTCATGAAAAATTCAACAGAGGTATCCTTTGTTCTATAATCTGTTTTCGAGTCACATGGTTGTGCTTAGTCCGGATGCTCACAAGCACGGCTTATAGACCCTGTGCGGACACGCACCTCTCAGAAAAACATGTAAGAACCTCTCTACAAAAAGGGCAATATCATGGTTTATTTTATCTACAGCAGAGACGCTAGCAGAATAATAGTTCTGTAGTTTGTTCTTCTCATTACAAGAAAATAGAGAGAAGGCATATAACTTTAGAATCTAAACAAGATGGAAATACTTATTTTTGTCCTGCTCACAATGATTGTTGTTTCTCTGTTAGGCTCTAAGAGGGACATCAAAGTAAAGAGAAAAAGGACACAAAGAAAAGACATAGCACCAGTCCTTAAAGTTCCCAATTTATTAGAGAAACAATTCAAACACACAAATGAATCAGAGAATGATACAATATATTAAAACTTAAATATTAACTTGTTGAAACTCACTGCCGTCGAGTCGATTCCGACTCATAGTGACCCTATAGGACAGGGTAGAACTATCCCATAGGTTTCCAAGGAGTGACTGGTGGATTTGAACTGCTGACCTCTTGGTTAGCAGCCGAGCTCTTAACCACTGGGCCATCAGGGCTCCACTTTTAATATTACTTGGTGCTAAATATTAATATTACCCAATATTGATTTTATTTATTAAGCACCTACTATGTGCCAGGCATTATTCTACGTGCTTTACATATATTAACTCATTTAATCCTCACAACAAGCCTAGGAAGAAGATACCATTATTATCCCTATGACAGAGGGGAGGCAATTGATCCCAGAGAGGTTAGGTGATTCGCCCAAGATCACACAGCTAGTCGGTGACAGAGCAAGGATTTGAACCAAATGATCTGGTTATAATAAACTGCTTCTGAAATTGCTCTCTACTTCATATGTGCTTTAATACTAAGAGCTGTAAGATATTCATGAACTGTTGGTGTTTGTTTTATACCTCAGTGCAGGAAGATTGACCCTCGACAAAGCCCTGGACCTGACTCGCTATCTCCAACATGAAACAAGCAGTCCTGCACTCCTCAAAGGTCTAGGACACTTAGAATTGTTATACCACATGATGGATGGAAGGAATATCTCAGATGTCACTGAAAACCTCAAGGTTTGTGTTACTTTCAGAATATTCATTAAGTAAATACGCAGTGCCTGGAGGATGGTCGAGGCTCTGTACTGTGTGAACTCCTTGATGTTAAATCATGAAGAAGCTGTAGAGACTGGCTGATGGCAGTCAATAGCACAGCACCTAATAGTTTAATACCCTCTTTTCTTGTCATCACCATCCTAAGAGTTAGGTACCAGGATCATAAGTGGAAGATTCCTCTCAAAGGTGATTTTTATCTTACATCAATTGATATTCCCCTCACAGATAGAAAATTAAATCATATTTTTAATGTAGAATCTCCTTCTTAGGTGTGATGGGTGGAAGCCAGAAAAAGAGGGAAGAGATATGAAGATAAGTAGTTCTGTGTTTGGGAAAGTTTCATGCAGATAGTTTAGATTTGGGTCCTTTAAATTGGTGAGTAAGAACTGTGTTAAAAACTAAATTTAGCCTCTCAGTAAACCATCTTGTGCTTTCCGCAGCATTACATTCTCCGGTATTTTAAGGCAATGATTGACAAGCAAAGCTGGAGTGACGAGGGCTCGATCTTTGACAGGCTGCTTCGCTCAGCTCTCTTGAAGTTGGCCTGTGATCTGAACCATCCTCCCTGCACCCAGAAGGCAGCTGAACTCTTCTCTCGGTGGATGGAGTCCAGTGGAAAACTAAAGTAGATCTTGACTTCTTTTCTTATTCTTTGTTCCTTTCACTTTGATGTAAAAGCCATTGATCAAGCAAGACATTAGATTTAAAACTTTTACTGAGGATAGAAGAAAAAATGTACTGGGAATTACATGCTCATTTCATGCTCACACATAGTAAGCGCTCAGTATGTTTTGTGAGAAGTGAAATTTCATTCCCTGTGGGGAGAGTTAGTAAACATTGACATGGTAACAGAAAGATAGCCAGGGGTGAAACAGGGGGAGCCCTATCTCCAAAAGTGATGCTCCTCAAAGATAAAAAGATATTAGAGGAAGCAATGTGAAATTACCAAACCAAACCAAACTCACTGCCGACGAGTCGGTTCCGACTCATAGAGACCCTATAGGACAGAGTAGAACTTCCCCATAGGGGTTCCAAGGCTGTAATCTTTACAGAAGTAGACTGTCACATCTTTCTCCTGGGAGCAGCTGATGGGTTCGAACCTCCAACCTTTTGGTTAGCAGCCTAATGCTTTAACCACTCTGCCACCGGGGCTCCTACCATGGAGATTACATGTAGTTAAATCACCAGTGATCTATTTATGAAACTTGCTGAAAAGCTAATTAAGGGAGTGCCTTTTTTTTTTAGTGTGTTTGCTCCCGCATCAACCAATACCACAGGCCAAACCTTGGCCCCAGGTTGTCACTTGCCTTCACCTTTGATGGGAAACTAATCATTTCAGCATCTAAAGCATGTGCATGGTGGCAAAGACTGATTGTAGTGGTGACTATAATCAGGAAGATCCCCAGGGATCAAATGGATTGTGTTGCAGTTCAGTTTTATAACTGCTACCCATAGGAACTAACAGACCACTCTATCTTTTCAATTTAAGCATTGATACCTGTCTAACACCTAATTTTATATTATTATTGTTAAAACTCTGACTCTTGATTTGAATGTTTTAGGAAATCAATTTTATGTGTCAATTAAGTAAAATTCATTTTTTAATTTAAAGTTAAAAAGTTCACAACTTTAGCACCGTGGAATGTAATGGTGTGAATTTTTCCTGTGCCAGATTTCTGTTAGGCTATCATAACTTTTCCCTCCACAACTGAATATCAGTGATATTTTTGAAATTCTTTCTTGAATTCTTCATTAAAAAAAAGTAATTCAAGTTTTCTTCTTTTTGAACTTTTCTGCTCTTTGTGATTTAAGCCTAAAATCAGTTTTAGAAAAAGGTATCTTTTTGCTCTATTATTCCCTTCTCTTTATGTTTGAATGGGTTGCGTGGGTAAAACTAAAATGCAAACGTCCTGCTGCCCTATAACACAATAGAATATTATTATTCTATCTTTTTTTTTTTTTTTTTTGTAGGTTTGAATTTTTTTTTTTTTTTAAATATTTTATTGTACTTCAGGTGAAGGCTTACAGAACAGATAGTTTCTCATGTAACAGTAACACACATGCTATTTTATGACATTGGTTAACAACCCCACAACATTTTAACCCTCTAAATTCTCAACTTTATTATTCTATCTTTATGCTGGTTATAGAAGGGATGATCTCACCAGCAGTAACCCATCTGCAGTATATATGATGGTTTGACATGCTGAACAGGATGTTTTGCTTATGAAAGTACTGTGGGCAAAACTCATTTATGCTTGTAATCAAGAATAGAGAATTAAATACTGTTGTGGTTTTTTAAACTGTGAGACTGCTAGAATGAATCCTAATGAAGAATTTCTTTACCTAGATTGATTATTTCATTCATTTGTGAATTCAAAATATAATTCTCTGCACATTTTCTATGTGCCAGGGACTGCTGTAGATGTTAAGGATAAGGAATAAAACAACTGTGTCCTACCTTCAAGAAATGTATCAGTTTTCATAACATTGTACAGTAAAATATACTAAAATCAAAACAATATGGATTATAATTTAATTACTTAATCTTTATTTTATGATTCAAATGGCATTTAGGATATTTAAGTATGTATTAAAAAACCCATTGCCATCAAGTCGATTTCAACTCATAGTGACCCTATAGGACAGACTAGAATTGCCCCATAGGGTTTCCAAGGAGTGGCTGGTGAATTTGAACTGCCAACCTTTTGGTTAGCGCCACCAGGGCTCCTTAAGTATATAGCATAGTAGAAATAGCACACGCATTAGAATCATAGGTTTAAATCCCATCTCGAAAATGGCTAGTTATGTCACCTTGTGAAAGTTAGTTAATCTTTCCAAACTTTATTTTAATTTTTTAAAATGCATTTTTGGAGTTTTGACAGTTAAATAAGATGTACAGAGACTAGGACAGTCCCTTCCGTATGGTCACTACATGACAAATGCAAATTTCCTGGCCCCTCTCCACTCCTGTGTTGTGGTTTCTCTGGGCCATCAATATGAGTATCAGTTATTATTGATCTATAGATATTTGGGATTAAAAATCATATAGCACCAATCACAACCAACAAAACCTGTATCTGTTAAGTAGATTCCAACTCATGGTGACCCTGTGTGTTATGGAGTCAAATTGTTCCGTAGGGTTTTCTTGGCTGTAACCTTTATGGAAGCAGATCACCAGGTCTTTCTTCTGTGGTGTCTTCATGTTAGTAGTTGAGTGCAAATCGATTGATTAGAAGGCAGCTAACAACAATATAGCACCAATAGAGGTTATTTATTGCTAAAAAAAATAATAATAATAGCAAAAAAAATCCATTGCTGTTGAGTCAGTTTTGACTCATAGCAACCCTGTCGTCAAAACTGACTCAACGATAGAATTCTATATAAACCCGTACTTCTATATTTCAGAATTCATCCTTTATTTGATGATTCCATCAACTTTCTATTTTCATCTCAAAGTAGGTTAAAATTTTATGGTTGTTCTGCTGACTAACAAGTTATCATCAGTAAGAGGTAAAACACAAAATTGGAAAATTAATATTAAATAAAATTCTTTAAAAGATTGGCAGGAAAAAAAGGTGTAATATGCCAGGTATTGGAAACAATTCTGTTACGGTAATTTAAAATTGCAATAAGCAAAAAAAGTTTTTTCTCTCATTGAACTTTTTTCTTAACTTTTATGCTTAATATTACAGTATCCCAGCAGATGTTTTAAAGATTGTGTATTCTGTGGGTGCCCAGACAACAGGAGGATGGAATTACCTTTTAGAGCAATACGGACTGTCAATGTCAGGTGCTGAAAAAAACAAAATTCTGTATGCACTGTCAACCAGCAAACATCAGGAAAACTTAGTGAAGTAAGTGCATTAATTTAACTAAATTATTAAAAGTAAACTTTGTTAACTAAATTGTTAAAAGTAAATTTCAGCCACCAATTTTAAAGGCATAAAATAATTGAGCCTGGATTTGTATTGCTTTGACATTACTTCCAGAAAAAAATGTACTGACAAAATGCAAATAGTGAAAACAGATATTCCCTCATTATTAATCATGCGATGGACACTAGACAAATGGCAATGTTTTACCTTCAGAACCTTGGCGGAAAATTGTTTTTAAACTATGTTCCTGTATATAAACTGATATAAGCTGCTAAAGTTCTTTGAAATTTTAAGTAAATAAAGCTAATCACTGCTAGAAAAAAGTAAAAGTTTAATTGGAACATTAAAATTTTAGCCGGTAGAGAATTTACCCGTTGCTGTTTTTGATAAGTTATACTTTTACCGTGCCTCTTTCTGTCCTATTCTTCTAATATATTGGTACCAAAAAAACCCCAAACCAAATCTGTTGCCATCAAGTCGATTCTGACTCATAGTGATCCTATAGGACAGAGCAGAACTGCCCTATAGGGTTTCCAAGTAGCAGCTGGTGGATTCAAACGGCCGACCTTTTAGATAGCAGCCAAATGCTTAACCACTGCGCCACTAGGGCTCCAATACATTAGTAGCCTGAGTTAATTTCTGTGCACATAACAGATACCGTGGAAAAATAAGTGGTTTTTATTTCTTCAGGTTAATCAAACTAGGAATGGAAGGAAAAGTTATCAAGACCCAGGACTTTGCACCTCTTCTTCATGCGATTGCTAGAAATCCAAAGGGGCAGCACTTGGCCTGGAATTTTGTAAGAGAAAATTGGACCCATCTCCTAAAAAAGTTGGTATTTGTTTATATCCAATATTACCTCTCAGAGCAAACGTGCAAGAGAAAGAAAAAAGGATCTAAAACATTTTATTTCCAGCAGGTAGTAAAATTAATAAAATATCATTACAGAAAATTTAGAAAATACAGAAAACCAAAAATCAGCTATTATTTCATAGCGCAAAGAGTATATATCTTCCAGAACAGATTTTTAAGCATTGCTTTTCTTGTAAGGGAAGCTGTGTTAGAAGTCCTGTGTCCTCGACCCAGTCCTGGCCCTGACTAATTAGCCCTGTGACGGTTCCGTGGGTTACTCTCTGTTAAATGCTCTGACTCACAGCAAAACCTTTGTGCTGATCCAGTGAGAGGATGTATGTGAAATACTTTATCAAGAGCAGGGGCAGCTTGTGTAGGGTCTGAAGCTTATACAATCTGAGGACCTTTTTCAAGAAAAAGAATACAAAAACATCTTACTTTTGCAAAGTTTATGGAAGTATATGAACCTGTGAACACATTGGAAGCAGCTGTGCCAGGAAGCACAGCCGCTTAATGTTTCATCATTCTCTTGGAAAATCTGCCTCTGGATCAAGAGTAAAGAGCCATATAAATGTCATAGCCCATCTGCTATTGTTGACCTTTGCTTAGAGTATGTTAATTATTATCATCTAGTATTAAATATTTTAAAATGTTACAAAATTATAAATTTATATGAGCTATGAGGAATCTCAAAAGCTTTGTGATTCAATTTTAAAACAAAATTTAAAATGTTGAAGATTTAAAGTTCCACAAGCTCAGACCTCCCTAGAAACTTTAAATAAAGTTTATTTCATTATCCCTTATTTTGATTTATATCTGCAATTATATTTTTTAAAGTTTCAAGGGCTTTAAGGAAGAGTAACACAGACGGTTAAATGTCTTCTTTTCCCATAATTCCTCTTAAAAGGGATAATTATGTGTATGAACACTGAGGGAGGGTGAAACATTCTATTTTATTTTTTCATAAGTCTTGGGCTTTATTTGTATAAGTAATACTGTGAAGAATATACAATTATTTCTCCCCCCACCCTCAACGTATGTTCTTCCTTTTTACTGAAATAGTTCAATGAAATCTATCGCTTTTAAAACTCACTAGCCCAAATTACCCTGTCCAGGTGTAAAAGAGAGAAGTGAGAAGAAGGCAGTGAGAAACAAATTTCTCTCATTCAGCCCTGGCAAAGGAGAATTGCTGGGGCAAAATGTTAAATCCAGTCATCAGCCCTACCTATGCCCACCATCCCCTCCTGGCTCATTCCTTAGCTCAGAAGGATCCAATGAAATCTTAAACTGTACATCAAACACATTTGGCCTGCTTTGTCAATGCAGTTTTGTTCTGGGGGAAAACCTCAGGAATTTTGATGGGAGCTGTTCCCTACCCCCTACCTCCCATTCCCAGTTCCCCTGTGGAAGCGGTACAGTGAAATAAGCCTGATCAGAATTCCTTGCCCCCTCCCTTCCTCCAAAATTGGATTTGTTCTGAGTCTTTCCTAGGGTTTCAACTTTTAGAAGAACTAGCATTCACCCCAGTATCCTCCTGGGCCTAAAATACCCCAGAAACACACAAAAAAAAAAACCCATTAGATTTCATTGGAATGTACAGGATGGGATTGCTTTCTCTCAGACCAAACCCATGGCACTCAGAAATTCCTCATCCAGATCCAAAATGTCACTTATGACCTATATGGAAAATATCACGAGTCAGAAGGCTGTGCAATTTGCTTTGTTTATCTTAACGTCAATTAGCATTTCTGATGTTATTCCTATCCAGTTCCTTCTCTCTCATTTCTTAGCACTATAGAGGATTCAGAGCCTAACAGACAACTTTGTGCAGGTAAAAAGTACATTTCAGCCCCTCTCCCAGGTCTGCACAGAATTTACTTCCACATGAGACTAAACAGAAACTGGTTGAATTTAAAAGTATATGTTTCCTTAAAGTCCCTATTGGAACCATTGGTTTGGCTATTCACATGACTGTCATTTCCCCCCCGAAATGATCAGACATTTTCTGTAGCGCTGTAGATTTCTTTTGTAACTGTAAATTATGCTCCTGCCCACCACATGTAGAAGCCTAGACTTGGAGCCATTTTCTAAGATGTATCTGTGCTGTGTTCTCTCAGCATGAGCCCCTTGTGACCTGTGGTAATTCTCTACATTAAAAAACAGGGTGAAATAAATGGATCCAGGTCAAAAGAGGAAAAATGTGGAACTGAATTTCAAATTCTTACAGAAACCAGACTTCCTGGACCCGTTGAGACTGGGGAAACCCTCAAATCTATTGCCCTGAGATAATTAATCTTTAAGCCTTCAGCAGAAACTATCCCATGAATATCTTTAAACTAAACAACCATTTAGCTCAGCTAATAGAGAATGTTCGCCTTAGGCAGTGTGCTCTTTTAAAGAACTATCTATGTGAGATCAAATGGACAGCAATAACTCTAAAACACAGAGAAGTTTAGGGGATAGAGAACCTAAGTCACGAAGGTGAAACAATATAGGTAGAGATAGGGAGAATGCTGACACAATACAAAGAATGTAACCAATTGAACTGTACATGTAGAAAATGTTGAATGGATGTATGTTTTGTTATGTATATTTTCACTAAAAATAAAAAACAAACAAAAAATAGGGTGAGGGATCCAGTCTGGGGCCATGAATGAGAGTTCAACCAAGGAACATTGCTGCAGTAAACACAATGCTTAAACACAGTGGTGTCCAAATGGGATGAGGAAGTGTGCAAGACAGTACATTAGAGTGAAAGAAGAAAATATTACAGTATATACTATCTTATCTTAT